CACTCTCATCTTATCTGTTGTAACTTTGTTTCTAATTATATTTCTCTTAGTATGTCTACACATTAATCTTAGCATCCTTATCTCCCTTACACTCTTCTTCTAGACACGAATACTCTCAATTGACCAACATCTTATCTCATACAATAATATTAATCTAATCACTATTCTATAAAATTTACCCTTAAATCTTGACAACAATTTTTTATCACACAATTGTTCAAAGCTCGTTAGTTGACTTTTCAAATATTAACATTTGGACTTTGAAGATGCTCTTAGAAATTTAAACATGGAGAAACAAAGTCAACGATATGAATCACCTTCGCCCCACCTCCATAGCCCCAATCACATCCTTACCTCCTACATGTCCATCGATTTATTTTAGAAGCCTCAAGTAAATGTATATAAACGCTAAAAAAAAAAACTTTGTTCATCAAATCGTAAAGAATAAGATAATTGTTCAACACTAGGATAAAAGAAATATATCATTTTGAAATTAAACTTAATATATAATGTTGTAAGCAAAACAATGAAATTGACATGATAATGAAAAAAAAAAATCATTGCTAAAATAATTCTCACCTGGATATGACCATTGCCATTGTTTAAACTAGCTAGCTTCAACGTTTATTTGGCGAAATGAAAATATTGAAAGATTGAAGAAAGTATTTATCACAGATCTAGGCACATTAATTTATGGCAATCATTCATTATTTTTAGATTAAAAAAAAAAAATTAAAATCATTCATTACAGTGTCCTTTTTTAATTCATTTCTGAGTCGTATTTTTTTAATTATATATATATTCACAAGTCCTTTTTTATTTAATTAGGAGTATATAAGCAGCTAGATCCAACGACTTTCATATAAAATTTATGGCACTTAATTTAAGATATGTAAAATATATTAAAATATATCTTGTGATCTTAGACTATATAGTGTAATATAAAATAAAATAAATGCATACGATTGAAATTTTAGTCAAATTTAATGTGTTTTTGTTATAAATGACTAAGCGTAAGCATATATGAAAATATTTCTAATGCAGAAGATTAAATGTTTAGCCAATTTTAACATGTGTTTAACCTAACGGAAAAAGCAAAAAGAAGTTAAATGGGTTTGTTAGATTTATTATTATTTTGACAATAATGTTTGGAGTGTGTTCTTTATGATATATTGAATTTAGGCATAATTTATAAAATATGTATTTGGCCTCATTTCACATTTATGCCCTCCAATTTTGTGTGTCATAAATGGACACTTAAATTTGTATAAAGTTGAACATATAGATACACATATCCTACGTGTCATCCTACATGACAATTTATGTCTATGTAGTGTCCTACATGTATTATGTCACATAGGACTCATGTATCTACTTATTCAACTTTGTACAAGTTTACGTGTCTGCTTGTGCACAACCAAAGTTGGAAGACATAAATTTGAAATGAGATCGAGTTAAAGGACACATTTATCCATTATGCCTTGAATTTTTGTTTTAAATTTTGGCTTATTTAGAGTAGATTTGGGTGTTGAATTGTTGAAATTCAAATAACAAAAAACACTTTTTTACAAAACAAGTGACATACGACTGCAATTTAAGGTAATTTTCACATGCACTTTAAATTCAAATTTCAATTTCACTAACATAGAACTTAAAAGGCGAAATGGTCCGATAAATCCTTATACTTGTATGCGTTTATATTTTGAACCCTCTTACTTAATCATTTGTCAACTGAACCCTTAAACTCAATGAAATACAATATTTTAAACCGCTTTGGCTTTGTGTAAACTTCAAATGCACAATAAAAATGACATGTCATTATCCACATCAGATTTTATATGACATGTCATATATTATTTATTTTTTATAATAAATTGTTTTTTTCTTCTTTTTTACTCCATCATCATCTTCATGTCATTTGACCAATACTTGTATAGCTCTCTTCTCCATGGACGCTAATGAATCACCATTAAAGTATTTCAATATGTGCTAATATTTATACACAATTTTACACAACATATTTCATCTAATTTCATAAAGACATTCAATAATTATTTTTTACCTTTGTTACTTTACCCTAGAAAATAGAAAAGAAAGATAAATCAAGAACAACATCGATTTAAAGATAAAGATGGAGCACTAAGACACTCATTAGACATATTTCTTCCACAAATTTAAGTATTGCACCAATTTTTTCGATTTTTCTTTGGTTATTTTGTTCTCAGTTTTTGCATAATCTCATTTCTAATTTGGGGGAAGAAGAAATGGAAAAAAAAAAGAACTGAAAAGGAGTGGGGGAAGGGAGAACGAAATGGGGAGGGGTCTGGGAAAGAAGAAAGAGTGAAGTTTTTTATTTTTATCTTTTTTATTGTATTTACGTTTTTCTTTTAATTATTTTTAATCTAATTTTTTTTTTCCACGTGCCTTTTTTGTGTGAAATCACGTGCTTATGCCAAATTAGCAATTAAATCGCCACCTAAGGTTGGTCAATGGTCAGAGGGGTTTAAGGTGTTGAAATTTACTAAGTTAAAGGGTTCAATTGACAAAGAGGTAAGTAGAAAGGTTTAGAATACAAATTCATACAAGTATAAAGGTCCATCACATCATTGCAACTTTGTGAGTTTTGAAACTAAATTATGTATATATCGACATAAAGTTATGTATGAACTAAGTTATATCTAATAAAGCATAACTTGTTTTGTCTTGTATGTTATGAAAAATGTAAATGTTTGCCTTACAAGTTCTTAATTTGTTTTTTTCGATGTCAAGAACATGTTCGTTAACTCTTTTTTTATTACAGTATCAAAGGACAAAAATTAAAGACCTTCCAAAATAAAAACATTTGTGTGAATAACCCAAAAAAATTGAAGCAACAAGCATTTTGTGGGCCTCCAAGAAGAAGGCCCATGTGAAAAGAAAGGAAAAAAAGTCATAATCAGCCCATGTGAATTGTTATAGCACAGCTTATATTTTCTGTTTTTTTGGGAGCCACTTATATCTCCCACTTGCTTCCAATATGGTCTAATTTCAATAGTCTAAAAAGAAAAAATTGAAACAAACAAAGAAGAGGACACAAAACATATTCATAAAAACTATACTCCAAAATTTTAGTGTATTTATTCACATCATATTTAAAGAGATATTTTAGATGACACCACAACACAATAGAGCTCACAACATGATAATTATAGGGATAGTTTCAAATATATACGATAAAGTAATTAGTTTATAGTAAATACAGTCACGTTTTTATTTATATAACAGATAATCAAAAGTCATAGGAAATATATGTTCATTATATACTAATTATACAATATGATACACTCAAAAAATTGAATATAGCTTATTTATACGTAAGTACTATACATTATGATACACTTAAAAAACTGAATATAGCTTACATATACATAAAGCTATATCGGCTGACTATACATAAAGTAAGTATACGTTGACTATTCAATTCCAGCCAACTCAAAATCTCCTTTAAACACTCCAAAATTCTAAATATGAAATTTGTCCAATATTTTATATCTTTTTATATAAAATTTGCTCGAAACAACTTACGTGTGCGGTACATTAATTTTAATTTTAATTTTTAAAAGGAAAAAGTAACATAGAGTCAATTTATTTTTACTAGTTTTCACAATTGTGAAACTTTATTACATATTTGAATAAAATTTATAACTCATATGAAATCATATTCCTAATGGACCTAAGGCATCTAGGCAGGTGGAATTTCTTTTTAGCGTGGCTAGAATTATTTTGAGGGTTATTCGTTTTAAAATTATATTTTATATGTTTCCGATACACAATAATTACCAAAAAATGAATTGTAAAATTGAAAAAGACACGATAGGATACTTTTTTTATTTCTTCGAAGTTTTTATGTACTTCCGTTATGGAGGGTCCGATTCCAATAGGAGTGAGGCAGGGCCATGACATAATACTTTTTTTTTTCTTCGAAGTTTCTATGTACTTCCGTTATGGAGTGTCCGACCCCAATAGAAGCGGGGCAGGACCATGACAGAATACTTTTTTCTTCTTCGAAGTTTCTATGTACTTCCATTATAAAGGGTCCGATCTTAATAGGAGCTGGGCGGGGCCATGGCAGAATACCTTTTTTTCTTCGAAGTTTCTATGTACTTTCGTTATGGAGTGTCCGACCCCAATAGAAGCGGGGCAGGACCATGACAGAATACTTTTTTCTTCTTCGAAGTTTCTATGTACTTCCATTATAAAGGGTCCGATCTTAATAGGAGCTGGGCGGGGCCATGGCAGAATACCTTTTTTTCTTCGAAGTTTCTATGTACTTTCGTTAGGGAGGGTGTGATCCTAATAGGAGCGGGGCAAGGCCATGATAGAATACTTTTTTTTCTTCGAAGTTTCTATGTATTTTTATTATGGAGGGTCCGATCCCAATAGGAGTGAGGCAGGGCCATGTCATAATACTTTTTTTCTTCAAAATTTCTATGTACTTCCGTTATGGAGGGTCCAATCCCAATAGGAGCGGAACAGGGCCATAACAGCGAGGCCGGATCCACATTGATTGTTGAAGATGACCCCTCATCTTAGTTTTTAAGATATTTTCTTTTAATAATAATAATTAAAAGAACCTTATAATTACGAATTCGTAATTTTAAAAACTTTAATTACTAAAATGCCACATTAAAGGAATACATCAATGCACTAAAATCTCATAAATCATCAAACCATAAGGATTTTACTTGGACCTATGGTACGCAGACTTAGAAATACATTTAAGCATGAATTTGTTTCCACGTCTCGAATTCGTGAAAAATTAAACTTATTGCAAAATAAATATTAATTCCGCCAAAAACTAATTTTTCTTTTACATGAGTAAAAAGAACTTCACATCAAGCTCTTCAAAAACCGGAAATAATTCCTCCAAAACTATATTTTTTTTAAAAAAAAAAAAACTCGTGAAATTCATCACTCATCATCACCAAAACACTGATCGTATAAGTCATTCCGGATTCCGATTAGTACGAGATCTCTTCACACCTCGCGATACTTACACCTCTCATTTATCGAAGTTCTGACTGCATCATCATCATCGCCAGGTAAATTTCACCTTAACGAGAACCAATCAATCACATCCCATACAACGCGCCGTCGCGTGATCTCCACGCGCTCATCGGAAACAACCAATAACGACGACCGGCAAATCGGACAATTAAAATTAAACGTATCTAACCATCCATCAAAACACACCTTATGAAAAACATGCTTACAATCCAATTTCCTCACATTTTCACCATCACCCAACCGGTTCAAGCAAACAACGCAGCTCGAACCAGAAGCTTCGTCTCCTTGATCATCAAATGTATACGAGAACATCCGATTCAAATTGAGCTGTTCAGCGAGCATAACAACTCCGGCTAAACCTGAACCAACGGCATCGTAAAGCGTATTTTCTTCGATTTGAATCGGATTCATTGACATACCGAGGAACTGGAGAAAAGCGAAGATGATTGAACGGAGATTAGCGATGCAATTAGCGAGAAGAGTTACGAGCAAAATAGGAATGGATTCAGTAGAAACATCAGTTAATTGATTTTGTAATCCCATTTTTTTTCAATGATTTTATGTTTAATGGGTTTTTGAAGCTTGAAAGAAGAAAGAGTGTATATATAGGGGGTGGGGTGGGGGTTGGGGGTGTAGGGTGTGGGGGTTACGTGGGAAGGAAAAGAGAGGGACACACAATTAGTTTTCAGTGTCGTCACGTATTTTTGCAATTTTCAACTTTACGTCACTTGAGTATTTTTTTAGTTTAAAAACTTAAATATATAAAATTGCAGAACACAATATATAAATTTGTTTGATTATTATAAGATATTATTAAGAACTCTAAGTTTTGAAATTATGAACCCATCTATGTTCCAAATGGAATATGCTTATATTTCACTTCAAATAAGCATACATTTCACTTTTTTCTTTTAAACTTTAATTAACAGTATAATATAATTAAGTGTATGGGTAAAATCGGATTGAAAATATAGGTAAATTAGAAGGTGACACATGAAATGTAGGATAGGTCAAAACGTCTAGATCTAGGGCTCTCAAGCTCGATGTCAAGTTCGTGACTCTGCTTAGCTCGGTAACCAATAGATCAAATATCAAGATACGATCATATAGAATAAGGATAAGATAATTGTTACTGAAAAATTCACGATTTTTTTCCAGTTATTTTATGTAATAGACGCAAATATAAATAAATGAAAGTTTTCATCGAATAAATTTTGCAAATAGTATTTACTAAGGTTTAGCTATAAATAGTGTCTTATTCATTCATCGTAAGGCATCAAATTTCTATTCATTTACCAACAGTACTCTATTACTTTGTGTTATCAAGCTCTTAAACTATGTGATTCATTATTTTGAACAAACATTCAAGAAAGATCAAATGACGTTGTCAACTATATATTAATAATGGATCTTTAAGTCACATTAATAGAAGAAGTTACACTAACAAAATCAAGTGTTTTGATTATTTCAATCCACAAATTTTTGAGTCATATTTATGAATCTAACTATATAATTTAAGGGTAAATAAAAATAATTTTATGCTTTTTGCTTTCGAAATACATTTTCTAAACTTTAATAGCATGATATATATTGAGTAAAAAATCCAAAGGTATGTTTAGTCTTGCACCCGAAGGAAGCAATAGCTTGCTAGGATAAAATTAACAAAAGATTGTGGTGCAGTTTATGAAGTTGCTTCTACATTAATCGAAAGTTTTAAATTCTAGTCTTATACATGAAAAAGATCTTGATAAAAAATATTATTTTAAATAATGTGTTACGCGATATGAATCTAGATTAGTGAAGCTTCTCCGGATAGAAAAGGAAAAAAAACATAGCTAGTGGGAGCGTGGAGTAACGCATGGGGGCGGGGGGGCGGGGGTGAGGCAAGCACAAGTGGGTTGGTTTGAGAAATAGTAGTAGTATTTTTATGAAGAAAGAAAGGGGGTGGCCAAAATAGTTGGAGAGTTTCACTAGTATAATCAAAGTGACATGTGGGGGGTGGGTCGCATTTTGAGGGGATAAACATGAGCTTATAACTTTGTCCACTTTATAATGTTGAACATTTTTTTTCCTTTTATTCCCTTTTTAACATAGTTAGAGTTGGGTCAGAGCAGTAAATATTTATTTATTCTTAATTAATAAATTTGAGATGAAGTTGTTTTTATTAGAAAACGTTTTGTACTGTAAGGTGAAACTTTCAAACATGATGGCAATACAAAAATCATCATCATCAACAACAATATACTAGTGAAATCCCACTCAGTAGAGTTTGGGGAAGGAAGAATGTACGCTGACTTTACTATTATCTCGTAAAGGTAAAGAGGTTATTTACAAAAGTCTAAATATTGAATAAAAAAAATGTTGATAAATGGAGTGAGGTAAATGAAAAAAGTGTGATGTAGGAAAGTTGCTTTAAAATATATTTAATCTTTTAAAAGTAGTGCAATTTTGCCTGTAATTATATATATATATAACATCAAATAGAGAGATTTAATCTCAAAAATCCCTCACCATGCATATTTCAAATGTAAAAACTTAGCTAAATTGAAGAAGAATTGGTGGCTTAGAATTGAAGTTGATATTGTTAAGCTTACATTAGGTCCACTACTTATAATGAATATTCTATTTAATTATTTATTTCATTATCATCATTATTCAGAAAAAGTGAAGAGGTAGGTGGATCGAGGACACATCTGTCAATGCACACACCATCAAACATTTTCATTAATTAAAAAAGGACAATCTTAGTGTAGATTACAATTAAATACTTTTACAACTTGACTATTTTACCCTCCTTCATTCAAAAGCTACAACAATGAATGTTATGCCACAAGTTCTCTCAAGCATATTCTAATAACCCTGTCTTTGTTTTCACTTTTGCTTTTCTATGCTTTCTTTGCCCACATGTTTCCCCTTCCTATTTTCGTAATTTTGTTCTAGTGGGTCGAGGGTTGAATTTAATTATGTTTCATTTAATGGAATGTATTGGAAGAAATAATATATATGAATTAGTTTTGTGTATTAGTAATATTTTGTTGATATACTTTTTCAATATATGTATAATTAATGCTTACATAAGTTATACATTTATTGTATATTAAGGAGCGTATTACAAATAAATGAAAATCTATGGATTACTTATTAGCACTGTAAGGAGATTTTAATGCATGCGTTAGCATATGGTTAAAGCCCCCGATTACCCCTTAAAATCCTTTTTACATATTCTATTGACTCAATTTATTTTTTTGGTTTCTCTCTTGGTGTTTCATACCTGTATTAAAGTTCAATTATTTTGAATTCGTGTCGTGTAGAGCTTCATTCGTGAGAAGACGTTTTTTATGAAGGATTTATTATAACCAAGACTTAAACATGAGACTTTTAATTTAAAAAAAAAAAGCACAATACGCCGCACCACGTTCGCTGATAGTTTTTTCTTTATTTTCTTGTTTGTTTGCTTGTTCTTTTTTTTTTTTTTTGCAAAAGCTGCAAGAAGCTCACAACTAATTTCTTTAAAGCACCTTGAGGTCCAACTATAAATCAAGAACATCACAAATTTGTTTTTCTTTCCGAATAATATTTTTACATATTTTATTTCAAAAAGTATTTAATTATAAAAATATCAAATTCAACTTGAAATATATTTCAAATAAATTACAACTTATTTTAACTTACTTTTCAATTTAAAACTATACAAAATAAAATTCAAATAGTGTTCTAAGAAGAAAGAACATACTATTCTTTGTTTCAATATATTTTCCTTTTAAGTCCATCCAAAAAATGCCTTTTTTTATTTGAGTAATTCTTAAATTTTAATTTTTCATATAATAATATTGTTAAGATCACAAAATTAAAGAATACTTCAATATATTATAGATACTTTTACTTTAAAGTCATAAACTCAAAAGAAAATCTTACTTTCTTATACTACGTGTTAATTTTACGTCAGATAAATAAATTAAGACGAAATAAAATGAGTAGTACTTTATTAATGCCCCATCAAAACACGTAGCCGACGTTCGTCCTGTATACTGACAATTCAAACGACACAAAAAGAAAATAACATATCTTAAGAGTAAACCATATATATATATTCAATATTTATATTGAAATTTAATTAAATATAATTTATGTTTGAATTTTTTTATATTAATGATGAAAAGATATTCTCTAACAAAGACAATTTTATATCTAAAAATTTAAATTTAATATCTTTAATTAAAATTAAAATATTTATCACTTCGCCTCGATGGTGAGGAAACCTTGCACAAAAGGGAAGAGGCAAACCGACGTAAATCCCAGAAAAAACAATATTATGTCAGTCATGATCTGTAGTATATGTTCCATTAGTGGACATTTATTAGATTTTGTAACAAAGAAAATCTATTACTTATTTATGATAGGGTACACAAATATAGAGATAGATATACATAAAAACAAAGATTATACCAACAATGTAATAGAAAAGTATACTTTATAATTTCTTCAACTTGCATTTTTTTCTGATCCATCGAGAAAAAAAGTTATTTTTTTAATAAAAAGTAGGAGGTGATATTAATAAAGATTATTTTTATTTGTATTGGAATTGAAAAGGTTAATTTAAGAAATAAAAATTATTTGAATTTTTGTATAATATATTTGGACAAAATAATATGTAAATTCTTTTATGAAAAGAAATGAATTTTAGGTCTAACTCAACCCACAAAACTAACTCATGAGGGTAAGATTGTCGAGTTCATAAAAGGAGACAAGAGACTATTTATCTCATTAACCATCCGTGTAAGGTTTTTTCAATTTATATATTTACTAATACAAACATAACTCTACTTAATTACTAAAATACTTTTTAAATTTTAATTATGAATTTGAATACATACATTTTAAAATTTATTAAACTATTTATGCTAGAAAAGCCTATTACCTTAAACCTTAAGTAGCTCATGAAAGAAAGCGTGAAAGTAAGCATAAATTTTTTCATTATTTATAAAAGTGGTATCGCACATAAAAAAACGAGTAATTGAATGATATCTTATTCTGTTTTGTTCCTTCCTCAACAAGATTGAGAGTTTCCTGATGTAAACTCCTTAGGCACGATTTTCAGAGTTTACGTGAATAGCTTATCTTCGTAGAAAGCTGTCTGACTTATGATATTTCCTAATCCGAGTATGAACTATAGTTTTGTATGATGAAGTGAATATGTTTATCAAACATCTGACTTACTTCTGCTTGGATGGAAATACGAACAAATAAAAATGGACCATAAAAATTATTTTAAGTCATCTCAATAATGTTTAACAGCCACGCGTTTCTTCTAATCAGTTTAGCGACTGGAGTTAATATATATTTGACATTACTTTGAAAAAGACCAAATATTTTATAATAAGAATTAATTAGAGACTAATTATAATTAAAACGCGTTGGGCGGTGGATGATTAGGCCATTTTGAAAGCGACCATCTGACTAAAACAAGATTTGCCGCGATCTTCGAATGCAACTTGCAAATTAATACTCATAAATCAATAATTGTCTTAATTTGATTAAACAAAA